TCGTATTTTGAGTAATGTCGTTTTCTCTTGTTTTTCTGGTCATTGTAAAAATATGTTTACATCTGGGAGTAATAATTCTGAACATTATCCCGTCTTAATGATTATTGTTTTCAATAGTTCTTCAAATAACCTTGTTTCTTACAGTAGCTACCTGTTTCTCACCCGCAGAGGTCACAGTTCATGCAAGAAATCACCGTCTATCTATCCATCTCTGTGTCTATGGCTCTACAGACCTTTGTTGAGTCTTGGCCTCTTTTTCAGTTTCTTAGTATTTTTACATAGTCAGTAGGATTCCTTGAACGGGGAATCGGCCCGTCGCAAGGCCACTATCTACACACAGGACACCACAAACACAGAATAAACACACACAGACATCCATGCCTCGAGTTGAATTCGACCCCAATATCCTAGTGTTCGTGAGAGCGAAGACAGTTCATGCCTCAGACCGCGCGGCCACTGTGCTCGGCGCCAAACAGCTCTGCTGTAACTAAATTAAGCACTCTGGGCAGAGGATTGGCACATCCGCTTGGGGCATTTCCCCAGTCAAATGTTGGCATGTGACCACGCACTCAGCAACCGCACTGCCCACACAGTTCCCTTTCCTTCATGAACCGCAGGCCGCGACATGTAATTAATAACCCCGTAGGCAGCCCGTCAGCTCCATCGTCCAGTGATCGGCTAATTACATTACTCCATCTTCACAGATCAGGCCATGTCTTGATATTGTCATTAACATGCTATGAGAACAAGGAAGCAACACATAGAAACCTAACACAAATAACGGCTAAATTCAACGTTTCAGCTCGTAGTTATCGGTTCGGGGGTTTTCGTTTCATTTTCCATCCAGAATATTGAGCGAGTTAATAGAATGCAAGGCACTTGAGATTCGCTTTTTAGTGTCCTCGAGACGAGTTTCGACAGAGATTTTGGTTGCTTTATTTGCTTCTCGTAGAAGGGTCACAGATTGCTTGGGCATGGACAAGGGATACGAGTAGAACAAAAAGGAAGAGTAGAAACTGCAGAAATGAGGGAATAAACCCCTTTTTGTCACGATGGGAATGACGTACTGAAATACTTTGGAGCCTTCAGATCGGTAATAGTGAAGGATCTCCTGTATATAGGGAGGTTTGGTAATATATTGTGACGCATGTAGCCATTGCTAGGCAACGCTCTCAATACACGCACGCAAGAATAGAACAGTGTTGCAAGAAGTGTTTTCTATGTGGGTCAGCTCAATGCCCATTGCTTAGCAACGACTCAGTAAACACGTTCCAACGAATACGCAATGAACGTGTTTTCTATGCTGTACTCCGACCCGTGAGTATATAACCGGAAATCCAGCACGGCTAGAGAAGCGTAGATCTGAATTCAGGGAGTCGGCGTTCGAAGGTGAAAGCAATAAAGGAATTAGACTATGCCAAGGAGACTTAGTGTGTGAGTTCAAGTCTTTACATGTGCTGTAGTTACAGTGATATCTGAAGTCACAGTGAGACTGTAATAAATCCGTTGCCAGGAAACGGACAGTGAACACTAGTGACAGCACACTGTGAAGATTCAGCATTGAGTGATCGCAAGAGTGTTACACTTAGTTGTAGTTACGACTTGTGAGTGATTAAGCACAGGAACAACTTCACCTTTCCCCCCCCCTTGGCACTACAGCCCCAGTGGGCCTAGGCCTACCTCCATGAACTTCTCCGTTCACTTCGGTTTTTCTAGATCTTACACATTCGGTAGGACTCCTTGGGCGGGTGATCAGCTCGTCGCAAGGCCTCTACCTGTACACAAACACAGAAAAACAACACACACAAACTAAACATCCATACCCTGAGTGGGCTTCGAACCCACGATCCCGGCTTCCGAGCAAGCGAAGACAGTACATGCCCTAGACCGCTCGGCTACCATGACCGGCACTTCGCCTTTAACGATGTTGAATTCCTGCACAAGCTCAACGGCACAACATCTTTGGAAATATTTGGAACCACGGAAAGATGGTCGGATAAAATACAAGATGTGATCGGAACGGATCCGTGGAATCCAAACCATGGCACTGTTCCTGTCGATCATAATAATGATAAATGTGTAGTTGTTTTCTGTTGCTGCCAAGTTTGGTTGATTTTTCCAGTCGTTTGCGCTCCATTTCTTTCATTCGCATACGAAATATTTACTAAACGCAATAAAACTTGCAAAACTGAAATCTAGAATATTCGTTTAATATGAAACTCTTGGAGATTTTAGTCCGAGAACCGAATTTCAGTTACTGTCGCTGTTAGCATGCTCATCCCTGTCGAGTAACAGCGCTTCTAAACACGGGCACTGCAGTCTGTTTCCCGTAGCGTGCAGACACTGGGGCACAATGGCGGGACGCCAGTTGTTGCAGTGCGAAATAGAGCAGAAGTTCGCCGCCTCGTCTGTAGAGGTCGTGTTCCCAGTAGAGAACTTCAACACAGTACATAGTCACCTACAACAATAACTAACTTTGTGCGCTCGAATTCCTTTATATTTCTTATCCCCAGTTTCCTGCTTAGCCTGTTTTCAGTGTGCCAGTTGTGTTTATAGGAGTCTTGAGTTTGGTTCAACGACACATAGCTACTGGGCGGGATTTCATGATGAGCTCTATGTTTAACCTTCTGTTATGTGGTACTGTATTGCTTCTAAGTGAAAATGGGCAAACAAAGTGAATGAACATAATTGTGACGAGTAAATAACTTCCAGAGCTACAGCACAGCTATTGAGATTCACGAAATAACACAAAAAGAATACACATAACTTCGTAAATATTTTTAGAAAATACTCGGTTTGATTTCGGATTAATTTTAATTGTACTTATTCTGTAAATGCGTACAAATATATAAAGAAACTAAATACGAGTATATTGTCACTTGTTAATAAATAGACACGGGATTAGGATTGGAGATAGCATTTATTGAACACTTGTAACTACAAGTGACAGCCCTGCTGATATCCACGCTTTAGAAATCAATAAAGCACGCGCTAAGTCTCAATATGTTAGTCTTCACTGGCGATTGCTTGTCAACGACTCCCAACTATTGAGATTCTTCCGCTCCCGTACTCACGTCCTTTCCGAATGGCGACTGGCTCACAAGTAAATCACGACGGCATCTAATTCTCTTGACTGATTGCTAGATTGCTGCTGGCGACCTGTGAAGACTAACAGACTGAGACTTAGCGTGTGATGTGATGATTCGTGAAGTGTGTAAATCAGTGAAGCTGTTAGAGCTACTTGTCTCGCTTCGGTTTCGGGCAAGTTATATAGCCTCGGGTCTGAGCACATAGAAAACACCGCCGCCAACAGATCCTCTATTGTTTTGTGGCGTGTAAAGGGCGGACGTTTCCTAGCGACAAACCGCGTCGCGTGTGTGTTGATGCGGTCCCGTGTTATTCTGTCATGTCATAATATACTATAACGCAATTCCTTTTAGCTCTCAGACATCATCTCTCTCGTCTGTATCCGAAGTTTCGCCACTCTCTTCCAGTCCACACCCCATTCATCCATTCTGTTCCAATTCACCTGCCCCTCAAAATTTCCTGAATTGCAAATGAATTTCAACTGTATTAGTGGGCTCCCGAGATCTCGGGACTGGTCCTTATATTGAGCCAGATTGAATCCAACTCACATCATCACACTATTTATATTTAATTACTATTTCAGTATATCTATCTATCTGTTTATCTATCTATGACTCTACAGCCCTTTGTTGGATCTTGGCTGTTTTTCTTCAGTTTCTTGATCTTTTTACACAGTCGGTAGTACTCCTTGGACGGGAGATCAGCCCGTCGCAAGGCCCCTACCTGCACACAGGACAGCACATACACAGAATAAACGCACACAGACATATCCATGCCTCAAGTGGGGTTCGAACCGACAATCCTAGTGTTTGAGAGGGCGAAAACAGTTCATGCCTTAGACCGCGAGGCCACTGTGACCGGAGTTGCAGTACGTCTACCTCTCCGGAGTGTTACCTTTCCTTTCAGCATTTTGTATGCAAGTCTGATCTTTTCAATATATTTTAATGTCCCTCCTATCTGTTCATCCGTTTCATCAAACTGGTGGTGTTTGATGAAGAGCACACGTATGAAGTTCCTCATTATTCAGTTTTCGTCTGCATTGTTATACATCCACTATTTACATCCGAATATGTTCCTCCGTATTCTGTTCCCAAAACTCTTTCATTTTTTCTGCCCTCAGTATATAGTGTAAGAAAATGATATGAGTTTCATTTATAATAAGTACTGAGCTAAGAAATGATAATTGCAAATATTCGACCCATAATATCAGACCATACTCTGAATTGAATTGTCGCGTTCAGTGTCTTCCTTACACGTGAGATATCAAGTTTTCAATACTGTGACTAAGATGACTGTTGTTGTCTTGTATGTGACGCCGTATAGTCTGGTAGATCAGCACCAACATTTCCGAGGAATCTGCTACCTCCATTCTGAATGTACCCTAACGCTGGAAGTAGCAAGTTCCTTATAAATTTTCGTACATATCTACCAAATTACATGGCATCATATCGAATACATTAAATCTTATTCCTTAAATTATCAGTTCTCTTTCGAGTGTGATTATCGAACAAGAAACCTCATCACCACCATCACAAACACCTATCATGGGTTGGTATCGTTATCTGGTTCCATCTAATCCACATTTTCAAAACAAATTTCACAAAGATACGTTTTAACGTATTCTTCTCCTAAATTTATTATAGCCATGATCATGTCTATTCCTTGTTTCTTCCGTAACTGCGTCTCGGTTTTCTTTTGTTGTTCTAGTGTAGACCTACAAGTTTAAAAATTTCATTTTGTTTTCCTGTATCCAGGAAGATGAGAACAAACAGTATCCGGGGGGCAATACAGGCTCAAACGTCGACCCTGCCAAACTGAACTTGTACATGGTCATGTGCCCAGACGCTTAAGCTCCTTCTTGTTTGAACTCTGTGAGTGGACACTGCATTAAATATTTGTGTTGTTGTTGTTAGGGTGGAGGAAGTGTTCTCCTGGCTGCTTGAGGTGGTGGAGGACAGCTCGGACCTATGGGACGGCGGCCGAATTGTGTGGAGTATCCGGTACGTCCTCGAGGGAGCTGAAAGTAGGACATCGTTTATGCGTGGGGGAGTGAATATCCGGCAGATGCACGGTGGTCATAGCCATCACGCACTGAATGGTGGTAGTCGATCTAGCGCCAAGCATCGGCCGTTACGAGATGGACTTTTGGAGGAGACTCGCCGGAAACTCACTGCACGACTCGAAATTCAGAAAGATGATATCCAGTCGGTGCTACCAATATCAAAGGTAAGGCAGATATCCATTCAGAATAGTTGTAACTGGAACTACTATCTAACATGTTTGTCTTCAGGCTTGGGGTCTTAAGTTTGAAGTTATTCTTTCCTCTTAAGTATTATAGTAAAGAGTCTTCTGACGGGATTTCAATATACATTGCGGTCGAATTTTATGCGAATTTGAATTATGCGCGTTTGAAATAGTGCGGTATAAAAAATGTTAATAAATTTTCACTTTACTCGTAAAGTTTGGAATAATGCGAATCCCAAAAAATATGGTCATATATTTATACTTGTGAGGAAACTTGTCTTCCATTATGCCAGTTTTTGGATTATGCAAGGTCTTCAGGGACGCATCCCTTCAGTGCATAAATTGCACTGTACCTGAGAATGTTCCTTTCCGGAAGCATCCAGTTCAACACACATACACAGCTTGCAGCCTGTGCATTCATGATAATGCTTACATACCAGATGACAATGCAAGCATGTGCAGACTCTTTTCTTCATAAGCTGTGTATGACTCCACATCCGGTGGAAATACCTAGGAGGATAAAATTTGACCATATGAAACAAGTATAATATACAAATATTCTAACAGTAATTCCTCTGATCTTCACTGATTACGAATGTTCCGCTAGCAGTGGTCGCGCGGTCTAAGGCATGAGTCATCTTCGCCCGTTCGAACACTGGAATCTTGGGTTCGAATCCCACTCGAGGCATGGGTATCTGTGTTTATGTTGTTCTGTGCGTAGATAGCGGCTTTGAGACGGGCTGATCCCCATCCAAGGAGTCCTACCGACTGAAAAACGGCCAAGGTCCAAAGGGCTATAGAGCCATAGTGGAGGAGAGATTTACAAACGTGTTTCTGATAAGGTACCACTCGAATTATCTACCCCCCCTCATCCCCCCTGACATACCGTCGGCTACATGGCGATTAATATTCGGAATGATGCACATGTCATGCCTAAGTCTTTTGGACAAGTTGCGTTTCTTAGTCGAGGAGTGTCACACACTGATTTCTTATTCTCTTTGCTAGTTTTCCAGAATGCATATTGAAGCAAAGCTTCGGCAGTTTCACGCAGAAACATGTAGTGTTTCTGCCTTCCCCTGTAAGAATAATAATATATTTAGTGAATTGCTCGAAGATCTTATTAACAAGTAAGGAATCAGGAAGAATGCCGTCTTCTAGGGTGTGACGCCGTATAGATGTAGTGTAAACAGACGTTCCTCCGAAATGTTAGCTTACACTAGACCTACACGGCGCCACATCCCAGAAGACGGCATTCTGCATAGTCACCGCCGCGAAAACCATATATCTTACAAGAAATTTGGAAGTCCGGAAATACAATTCATTGCTTGTCGTTTTGCTTGAAGCGTTCGAGCACACACTTGGTAGCAAAGTAGATGCTTTATAAAGAAAGTTGTATATCTAAATGTCTCCGGTAACTTCCTTATCATGACCCGGTACCTCTGCAAGCCGAGAATTGGCCGTGCGCCTACAGCAGAAGAGTTAGACTAAACGCATAAATGAGGCGTTAGAGAAGTTATCGCTCAATAAGGCGAATAGATAACTACAGTTTGTAACTAGTGACTCGTGACTTTCTTCTCATGTAGACTTTTTCAATTGCTCTTCCAGCCCATTCAGGACCCTCGCTTCTTATTCAGTTCCGTAATCATTTCTCTCAGTCAGTAGGACTCCTTAGACCAGTGATCAGCCAGTCGCAAGGTCGCTACCTATACACAGGAAAACACAAACACAGAAAAATGCATACACACACCAAACATCCATGCCCTGAGTGGGATTCCATCCCACGATCCCAGCGTCCGTGCGAACGAACACAGTTCATGCCTTAGACCGCGCGGCTACTGTGACCGGCGCTCAGGTAGTTTAACCCATTAAAAATAAATATATAAATGTCATATTTCTCCATATAAAGAGCTTCGTCATAGGAAATTATATCGTGAGGTTTGAAGTAGATAAGTGGAACAGGTGTGCTCACTGATTTCCATCTTCTTGAACTCTATACATAAAATAGGATACTATATATGACCATGCGTGTTTTATCTATGTATATTTTGGTAATGACTTTCACGTGTGTAATAGTTTTCACGAACTTGCACAGGTGGCAACCCCATGTTCAAAACTGTGCCATAAGAAGGGTAAAGGTGTGGCTGGAGTCACTGTTGTAGCGGAGAAAGGAGGGCACTACTTAGAGTCTTAAAGGGGGAAAAGGAAATAAAGGAGAGCGAATGGTAAAGATATGAAAGAAAGAGCTCAGATTTGAATTTAAAATGATTTTACCAGTGACTATTTTACAGTGTTTCTTTGCAGTCGGCTGAACATAAGATACTCGAAAGTAGTGTACAATACAAATTAGAGAATTTAATGAAGGCTAGATATTAGCTTCTGAAATCTACAATATTTTTGAAAGGCGGCACATTTTTATAATTTTTTGTATAAAATTTAACTTGAGCATGAAATAATGGATCGGGTTCTTTGGCCAAAAGTAAATATTTTGAAAAGTTTCCTTGTAATCTAATATTAAATATTATCGATAGCCGTTGGATGGTTCTGCAGAGAGATTATGTGCCCCCTTGTAGTTCTTTTGCGAAACTATTTTCTGATCTGAGTTTCCTCATCCACTTTGTGTCTGTGTGATAGCCTGAAGCCCCCTATCATTCATAGCACACATTAGGAGACATACGTTGTACGTATATATATATATATGCATGTATGTACATATTTACCTACGTATGTACGAGTATGTATATGTGTGTTTTTCTATGCGCGTGAGCATGCATTATGACGTATTTTTAATATTTGCATCCTGCTGCGTGATTATAACTAATAATACAAATTCCACCGTCAACGCAACTATGATTTATTAACTTTATTTCATATATATCTTGTATTTAAATCAACATCTAGATGCTAGAATATAAATGTACATAGAACATCGTCATTTTAAGCTTACGTATGTAAATCTGAATACACGCTTTACAATTCAGTAATGAAACTGCGTAAATCACAACATCTGAGAATGACCCTATAAGGGTCGAAACATGTAGCGGAACATCAGTTAATAAATTATAGTTTCGTTGCCAGCGGAGTTATTATTATTATTATTATTATTATTATTATTATTATTATCTGGTTTCGCAGTTACTTAGCCAACAGACAATCTCNGGTCAGGCAGGTAGTCATTAAAGGCACAGATATTTTCACTTTGTTAGAATAATCTTCTTTTAGAAAATAGTCCACAGAAAAGAGGGGTTTTTATTAAGGTGGATGGTGAGATTGAAGGGAGAAATTTAATTGGAAGTGCGGGTTTGATGTGGCGCTGCTTTTAGATTGCTACCCCAACCCATTTACTTTCTTACCACCACCAAGAGAAAATTAAACCAGGATTTAAACTGATATGAAATTTCTGTTTTCTTCCCCAATTCGTGGATGGCAGCACTTCCACGGTACGGAAGTGTGCTGGCTCCTTATGTTGAGGCGCGAAACATAAGGAGGGCGTTTGTCATTCCTAGAGAAGTGTGTTACAAATGCAACACGCCTGGGATTCTGGGGACGGAGTCCAGAGCCGCTCGCATTGTGACCCCATAATTCCTTACTATCTGACAGTTTATAAATTTCTGCTCCTTCCTGTTTATGGCAGGTACCTACACAAAGAATATATTTATTTGGACTTGATCACTTTCCTCACCGTAAATAATTAACGTAATGCACGATAATAGACATGAGAGACGTACATATTGTGACGTATAGATCCATTGCTAGGCAGTGGCTCAATAAACACGTTCCCTCAGATACAGATTCTTGGTAAATAGCCCGTTGTTGCGTTATAAGTGCAAAAATACGCGACAATAAAGGACGTCCATTTTTAAGTAACGGGGCTATAAACACCCCTACGAATTGTTGAGAGACGATGTTTTCCGTGGAGTCTCCTCCCGAGGCTACATAACGAGGAATTCCAAGTGAGCAGTCAGTCTTAGATTAGTAAATTATGTTATATAATTAGAATTGGAGAATTAGGTCAAGTTCTGAGGGTCGGCAGTCCAAAGTGATTGAACAAGAAATAGCAAGAAAACTTTATAGTGATTCGAAGTGATACTTCCTGTGAAAAATCCATTTCCAGGAAACGGACAGTGTATCCTAGTGATTTGTGAAGCGGGTAGATTAGGGGTAGCGCTATTACTGTTTGTGGTTAAAACTGAGTGTATTATTTTTGTTTTATTGCTACTGAGGTGGGACTAAGTCCCTTCTACTGCGGTCAGTTCTTGCCTATTGTACCAGCCCCAGATGATAGGTGAGGGGGATTGTGGAGCAATTGGTGGAATGAAGATTGACAAGGGAAACCGAAGTACTCGGAGAAAACCTGCCCCAGCGCCACTTTGTCCACCACAAATCCCACTTGACCAGACCCGGGATCCAACCCGAACCGCCGCGATGGGAAGCCAGCGACTAACCGCTTGAGCTGTGGCGCGGCCTTTCTGGTAGTAAGTGCACTTCATTTATGTAACCGCTATGAAACTCGTTGACATTTTGAAGGGAAAATATGCAATTCCTCGTCTTTAGCTACTGTTTTCACAGATAACCCTTCTGTTGATCAACTCTTAAATACTTGTATCATAACTCTCGAGAGTAGCATTTTCTGGGATATACCGCCGTGCAGTCCGTTGAAAGCCAACCGAATTTTGGAGGAGCATATCGTCTCCATCTGCCTGCTTGTCACCTGCCGTCAAGCAGATATCTTGCTCGGCTTATTCTTCGACCCTGAAGATGGAGGCGATATGTTCCTCTGAAACGTCGGTTGACTTTCAACGGACTACACGACATTATATCCCAGAAGATAGTACTCTTCATAGCCAGCGCTGTGAGAACCTCAAATCTTACATTGTAGCCCTTGAGGTACACTTTGAAATCACAATTTCACTGAATTTCCACTCCATAAACTCTAAAAGTTCTGGAAAATCAGCTCCATAGAATAAACGGCGCCGCTATCCAGA